ATCCATCGCGTGGCGCTGTCCCCACTCCCCTATTTAAACCCTTCTTGTCACCCCCCCCCCCCCCCAGCCTGTCATAGCCAGACCTTCTGGCTACAGTGGGCTTTAACCCTAGGGCCAACGGGGCACCGTCTGCCAGGCCGGGGGCTGAAGGAGATGGAGATTCAGCCATTCAGCACTGCAGACTGAGCAGGTCTGTCTGCAGACTGAGCAGGTCTGTCTGCAGACGGTGTCAGCGATGAATTCTTCCATCTGAGAGAAAATGACAGCGTGAGATTTCGTCTATATTTTACCAAAGGTATTTTTACACCTTCCTCGTTTAACACAGTTAAGTCATCATTATAAGTGACATTATTAAGTCCAAACATATATATGTCTCATGATAACGGTAATACCATCAAATTCTTCATTTAAGGCCACTCAACTCTTAAGCTTAATGCCTGTGGTAAGTGACTCACGAAGTAGTGATTCTGTTGATGCAAATTGACATGTAATTCAAATGTCATTGCATTTGTGTTAAAATCATATTTTAAAAAAACAAACTCTAAAAAGCCAAAATTAAATTAAATTAAAATAAATATGTTTTAAAATCATATTGATATACTACATATAAACACTAATAACACTGATACAATAAAACAATAATAAATAAAACAGTAAAATTAAATAAATGTAACTATAAAAATTGTAAACATTTTGCTCTGAGTGTGTGTGTGTGTGTCAACTCTCACCCTTGGATCTGACCAGGTCACCTCTCTCTCCCACCTTGCTTCACCTCGCTTCCTCCTCTCCCTCTGTTGCCACCTAGTGGCTGATACCAGTGACAGTCAATCTCTCACACTGATTCACATCTTGTATCCAAACGTCTGTGCACAGCAGTATCTCTCTCTCACTCTCTCTCTCTCACACACACACACACACACACGCACGCACGCACACGTATCAACCTCTAATGCTTGTTGTTTCTACGCACTCAGAAACACACACTCACACACGCCATAGTGTGTTTCCAGCAGCAAAGAGAGATGAAGTGTCTGCTGAGTCTCCGTCCAAAGCTGCGGGGTGAGTCCTAATTGTTTCTTTGAAGACACACTTTCCTCCCTTCCAGGATTCCCGACACACACACACTCCTGAGACCGTCCTCATTTATCAGATGGCAGTAACACTATGTGTTGAGTCCAGGCTTCAGATTTATGAGAATATAACACCCACATTTGAGGATTGTATTGATTTTTTTCTCTCCCTGATTTCATCACCGAGCCAGAGGGTAAAAAGAAATGTCCTAGGTTTTGAACTGGGGTTGTTTGAGGTAACAGACTGCTTCAGTTTGGGTTCATTTATAAACAGTTCACCCCTCTACACCTGGTCCACTGATAAAACTAAACCACCCGAAGGTTCTGTGACCTTAAATTACTGCGTTCTGGTGTGCAGTGAGTAATGGTTTGAAAAAAAGGCTGAATTTTTCCATCGGAAAATACTGTCTTACAGCGAGTTGGTGAAGTGAAAGTAAAATTTAAGGTAAAGGAAAGTCACACTAAAACTGATGCCAGTTGGCCCTACAGCTACTTTGCGCCACATGGAGCCAAATTCCTCATTAAAGCTCACTTCAAAAAACCTAAACTGCACCTTTATCATCATCTGATGTCAGGAGAAATCCTACACTGGGACTAATTTATTATTTTAGAAGGTCATTTCAGGTAAACTCCTCCTGAGCTCCCTGTGGATCTCATCGGTGTGACATTAGTGTGTCTCCGCCCCCTCAGACCTCAGTGAGGCAACCACTGACCTTTGACCTTTTAAAGAGCCCCAAATGACTCCTGACCTGCTCTTTAACACTATAGGGGTGAGCGAGTTAATGAAAACACATCAATTTTCATGGTTTGACATCTTTACTTTGTTCACACCACATTTGGATCCTTTAAGAAAATACATTTGTAACTTAATATGTGCGGAGGCACCTGAGTGTCAAACCCACAGATGATTGCGGAGTCGTTCAGTTCTGGTTCTTAACATGGTCTGCTCTTGCCTGACCCTGTTTCACAGATGTTAGAAGCCTGACGGTCACACTTAACCAGTTCTGACTCATAAATGGACTGAGATGTCGGTTGTTTGGAGGAAAAACTCAATTTTTTCTTTGATTTTCTACTACTTTTCGTACTTTTCCCACGTGTTTAACTTTGATTATTTACAGAAACAACGCGTCATGTCTCTGGACATGTTGAATATAGTTTAAAACTAAATGCATTTCTTTGAAGAAAACAAACTTTTCTAGAAACTATAAATGTTTTAGTCACAGCAGAGCAAGCCTCCAAGGCTCTTCGTCTCCTTTCTCTCATTATCCTCTCCTGAAATCAGAATTAACATGACATTTACATGACACAAGTATGAAGTACATGTGCTCCCCAGGTCTGTTAGTCATGAAATTGGATCCCAATGAACTCAATGGGTTTCTCTCTCTCTCTCTCTCTCACACACACACACACACACACTGACACTGATACACACCTTTACAGTCCACTGAGGCTCGGTGTCAGGCAGATGTGAAAGAGAGAGAGAGAGAGAGTGTGTGAGAGAGAGAGAGAATATTAATCAAAGCTTTATTGTTAAAAACAAAACAGTTTGTTATAGGAGAGACAGAGGGGAGCACTGCTGGAGAGAGAGTGTGTACGGGAGAAGTCTGTGGGGAACAGGAGGAGGAGGGCCAGCTTGCTGGTTTGCTCGAGGAGGCAGGACTTCTCTGGCTCTGTGGTGCGCTCCGACACCGAAGATCTGCTTTAATAACAGACCAGAGGAGGAGGAAGAGGAGGAGAGAGATACAGAGAGAGAGGGAGAGAGAGAGCGCGCAGTGGATTCCACTCCTCCGTCCCTGACAGTCGACAACGCGCATCCATGTGCCAAACGGACCTTTGGATCCAGAGCGCAGATTGAGGGGAACCTCCTCGTGGATCAGCTTCACTCGCTGGTTCTCCGACAGGAAGACCAGACAGTTGAAAACTCTCAGGATCTTAAACACCAGCTCAGATCATATTGGACACTGAAGAAGCCAATCTCTGCTCTCCTTTTCATCCCCACCACCCAGGATCTCCTCACTTGCGGGATCTGACTTCCCCGATGTCCTGTAAATGAGTCTTCACAATCGGCTTTTTCGCGCACGACGTGCGCAGCCGCGGCGTCTTCGCTCCGTCCGCGCGTCCTTTTCATTTTAATGCGCCTCTGAGCCTCACTTTGCTGAAACTGAAAAAAAAGACTTGATTGGAATAAAACCCCCGGTCTGTGAGGGGAGCCGCCGGACGTGGACACCCGCCTCCAATTCTTCCTTGGATTGTTTGAATTCTATTTATTCTCCACAGTTCCCCAGGTTCTCGTTCTTATCCTGGAACCGGTCCTGAGGATGTTGCTCCGCTGCTCGGATCCCTTCTCTTGGTCCACCTGTAGGTTTTTCTTCTACTTTCTGCTGCTGCTCCAAACGCCGCGCTCCTCCTCTCCACTAATTACAGGTAAGATTAATAACACAAGTCTGCGCCCGCCGTGCGTAAAATCCATCCAAACCCACTGTCATTGATGTTGAGGACGCTGTCAGTCTGAACACCAAAGTCCCAGTCACTAAAAGGTTCATGTAGAAGTGTGTGGTGTTCAACTGAACGGTATCCAAACCTGGTGTTTAAATTCCTAATTTGCGCACGATTATAAAAAAAGTAAAAAAAACAGCGCACTTCTAAGTTCCAGATTATTTTCGTTTAATTTCACTCGGTCCGTTAATTTCCTATAATCAAGGACAAAAAGGAGTCCACAAAGTATCTAATATAATTGAGAATAATTAAACCGTCCCCACCGGTGGCTCATCCCGGGTTATCCTCCGTGTGCCACCCCGCTGAGCTGCTGCGGCGCAGGCAGCGTCCATTAAAAGCTGCGCCCTGGCACGCTTGTTATTCGCGAGCGAAAGAGCCTGTTATTTGCAGACGCAATTTTTTTTTTCTGCCTGACACAAATCACGACACGAGTCATTATCAAAGTCATTAACATCAAACTTTAAGACACATTAAATGAAGATTTTTTGGGATGAAAGTCTGCCGCTAAATTATAACCGAGCATTTCTCAAATTGTTGTTTTTGTCCCTAGATGTTGTAATTAACGCTCTTCTGGAGTTTAAACTCTTAAGCTGTAAAGTGGAGATCACTTTTCCTTCCACCGGCTCTAGTTTAACGCCTCTTCCCCTCTGTCTGGAGCGGCTTCTCCTGCCTCTGCCTCCCGCTCCGTGCGCACCGTCTCTTCGGGCCTGTGACCTTTTCATTGCCGCGGTTTATTAGAGGCTAACGCTGCTTTGCCCCGAGGGTAAAATGTTGTAAAAGAAGCACAGTGGATCAGATGTATTGGCTGCTGGTTCGCTCAGACGCCGGGACCTGCAGGCAGACGCACGGGGGACCCGCGTAAAAAGGCGACGTCCAAACTTTAGGACAGATTCAATAGAAAATAAAGACCTGGACGATCGAGTTAAAATGCAAATGCGCTTAATATATGACTTTATGACGAATGCATCGGTGTAACAGGAAATACAAGGCACTCAATACATGGATTTTAACACATCATATAAAAAAAGAATACTTAAATTTCACAACTTGGAGAAACATAATAGGGTAACGTTTCAGTTTTTACAAGTTAAGCTTTTAGCATTAAGCATTACTGCAGGGAGCGATGGGCTGCTGTTGACCTCGAGACTGGAATCCAACTATTTTACAAGATGTGTTTTTAAATATGATACTTGAACTTGAAGACCACATAAACCCTGTTCAAGGGCCACCGGTTGGACCCAGGCCAGAGTTTGGGCATGACAGGCTCCTACTGCGCTGTTCACCTGGCCTTTCCGGGTTAAAAAGAGCAGTTGATCGACCTAATCTGATTTGCGGGTGGCATTTATTTGTTAGGGTAAATGTGTGTACGTGCAGCGTTCCCTCAACAGCAGTAGCTGAATTTAATGTTACTGTATCGCAGGAAAAAGGGAGGAAAATGTTTTCTGGTGCAGATTTAAAGCAGATGTTCCGCACTTTCTGTGCAGTCTTTTAAGCTTCAGTGTGGACAGACCTCCACATGAGAAGAAACATCCCACATGACTGCGTCCACATCTGTTCCGTCCCTGAGAAGAATCACTTCTGATTTGAAGGGTTTCCCCCTCTTTTGGCTGTTATCTCCTTTCCTGGGGTAAACACCAGAAGAGATGAGGATCAGATGGGCTGCAACTTCATGCAACCAGATGGGCCTGTGTAGTCTGCATGTGCATCTGTTTGACATGAACCAGTCTGTGTCGAGTGTGTGTGTGTGTGTAAAAGGCCTCTCTGAGATGCGACTAAGTGTGCATCAGGTGATGGAGCTGCAGTCGCTCTGATCCCCAGCAGATCAGATTCCTCCACCTGGCATCTCATGACGCCGTATCATCTGTCTGTTGTGGGCCGGGGGTCTTAGAGCGGACGGGGCTGAATGTGTCAGAGCAGCAGGTGGAGCAGAGGGGACTGAGGTCGTGGTGTAAAAACCACGGTGTTGCTGCGGTGATTGGGGATCAGAAACCAATCACAGGGCTCCACCTTCTCCTCCAGTCCTGGGACAGTTTGGGTTTAGAGACACTTGACCTGACTGATGATGGACATCATAAAATGCTGCCAGGTTTGTGACACGGGGTCACGTTGAAGTCATTTTTATGAGGTTCGTGGCTGATGTTGGGACGTTGAAGTAACGACTTTCAATATTAACGCTTACATTTGTAGAAACAAACTCATTTACTTACCTAACTCTATAGAATTGCACTGCAACAAATTGCAACAAACTCTGCGGTGGAGTTACTGAGGTCTAAGTGTCAAATGCCCTTGAAATGTCTGAAACTGCCCTTGAAATGGACACGACAGGAACTTTAAATGCCCTTGTAAAAAAGACTGTTAATTTCCAGAAAGTCTGTGTAAAATGGTCTTTAAGCTTCTGTAGCACATGGATATGTCACGGCCTTTTCAACAACTCAGCAGTTAAGAAATACATGAAATAATTTATTTATAAAAATATTGAGAAAACAAAATATATTTTTTTTATATTCATTAAATCAGTCCTAAAAATATGAGTCCATCAAAGGGTTAAGTCTGGCCTATCAGATAATAAATAAATAAATAAATGACCCCTTTTTTTTATTATATATATTAATATAACTTTATACAGATACTTTTTGTGACGTTCTCAGATCCTCAGCTGCAGAGTCCCAACACTGACGGTCACGTGACCATGTGGCAGTTTTGACAGAAACCCACAGCATGACGTCCTTTAACATTCATGTCTAAACCCAAAGAATGTAACGTTAATGAACCTGGGATCGTTGTACGCCATTGCCGTAAGTTTCCAGCCAGTGATTCACCGTCGTAATTCAACGTAAGCCCTACAGTATGATGGTTTAAACGCTTATAATTGTGCGGTTGGCTTTGACTTTCATTCCACGCGGTAATTTGAAGATCTTTAAAAAGTCCTAAATTTGATTTGGCAAAGTCTGGCAGAAGAATTGAGGTATTTCCCATCATTTGATGAAATTGCTTTGGAAACGATCCAGACATGTTTCACAGGGCAAAAATCCCTGATTAAAGTCACTCGCCGTAGTGATTCTCCAGAGATTATCGAGGAGGGCTTCTCTGGTGATTTTACCGCTAAGTCGTCCAGAGAATCATTTTTTTATTATTGTCAGAGGCTGCTGTGGTTTAGAGCACAGGAAGCAATTCAACAAAAGACTGGGGGGATACACTCACCAGGAGGCTTTAGAGATTCTCCTGATGTTCCCAATGCCTTTGACGTAGAAGGATTTCTTGCTGCGTTATGTAACGACGGACCGTAACTAACATTCTCTCCAGATACTACCCTGTTATGAGTATTAGAAAAGTGCATTTAGCTGTAATTCCTTACGATACAATTACAACAAAGAAAAAAAAAGCATCAAAACTTTTCCTGAAGTGATGGATTTTAAATAAACCACTGCAGTTCTGGTAAAGCCCCAAATTATTCCTATGCAGTGAACCAGGAAAATGTGTCTCTCAGTTCCACTGTGTGACAGAAACGCCATTGTTGTCCTGCTGCTGTAAAAACCACCTCTGTCACATCACGTTTCACACTACAATCAACACTTATATTCAGGGTTTTTTTTAATGTCAGTCAACACTGCGAGCACACATTTGATCTTTAGACTGATGCCCAATAAGTAAAATCTTTAGTTTAATTATTTATTATTTCAGACCATTAAAAAAGCAGTACACCAGGATTTACTGGTCTGAAATCTTAAAACATGACTAACTTCAAATAAATGATTTTAAACTGTTGATCAAATATACAGTGGTTAAACATCATGTTGACACAACAGCTGTATTCTAACACTAAAGTAGTACGAGGTACAACTACCTGAGGGTGTAGTATTTATCCTACTGCAGATCAGACCTGTAGCCAATAAAAAACCAGCCTGTGTGACAGACTCATTTGTCCGTAGTGTAAAGGCTGATTGAGTTTTTCCCATCACTGACACGAGCCAGAAATGAACTGACGTTAGAGCATGGATGACCAGTGGAAAAGTGGATTTGGAGAACTGAGACTGAGTCGTTTTTTATTATTCCATTTTAAAACTATCAGTTCATTGAGATTCAACAGACCTGATTCCATACAGCTCTGAGCCAAAGGTCAACTGTAACGTAGCATTAGAGTCTGTAGGATAACACACAGATAGACATAGGACCGAGCGGAGGAAGACGTTTTGTCTGTCAAACTCACCCGACTCCCTCCCACCGCCCCCTCCCCACCCTTACCTCGCCCCCCTCCTCCTCCACCACCACCACGACCACTTACAGCGTTTAATGACACTCGCAGGTTGTAAATTTAATAGCGGTGCTGGAGTTTTGTCTCTGCCTGAAACCACAGGCTGCCGCCTTTCTGCCGGAATCACAGACATGAGCACAGACGACTCCACAGGTTCTGCTGTTGGTCGGCTTTTTTTAAACTTAAACTTAGGATGACAGCAAGAATTTTAACCACATGCAGAAAACAGACCAAACCTATGACTTGCTTTTTGGTCCAAAAAAAAAACTTAAACCAGATTATTTTTATTCTAAATTTACCTTGCTTTTTTAATCAAATATCAATGTTTGTGTTAAAACAAACAATATTAAAACTAATATAAAAACTTTACAAATGATCATTCTGGTGATGATGTCTATAAGCATTCGATAAATGGCAAGTCTGTAACACCAAATGTTGTTGAAATGCAAAATTAAATGAGAATTAATTAATTAATCTTTTATTTTTTACTTTAAAATGTTATTAATTTGATCATTTACTTTTGTTTAAATTTTTAGAAATTATTAATTTTCATAAGTCTTAACGAAGGAAAAATATATGTACATGTAAAAAGCCCTTGTTTGTTTATCTTTGATGATCTGTTTTTTGTATTACTGTTTATCCTACTAAATCTAAATCTTAGTTTTTTAAAACATATAAGATTCTTTCAGACCCTGACGTCTATTCTTCTCTCTCAGATTATTTCATTTACATTAAGTTGAAAGTTGACTTTAGAATTATTGATTAACTACTACGACTGTGTGTTGCCTTTCTCCAGCTTTAGTGTCAGATTTCCTATGAATGGCCAGAGTAAGGCTGGCAGCATTACTAACAAACAGGTTGTCAGCACGTCCCGGGTCAGAGGTCACAGTGCAGTGATAACAAGTTAACCAAACAATGTGATATTTCTTTTTTTAATCACCTTTTAATGCAGTTTGTAAATTTTAAGAAATAATGCGTGATGGAGGAACTGCTGAAGAAATGAAGTCAAAAACACATACAATTCCTGTCATAAAACACAGGGCCTTCCCAGTAAGTCAATGCTGGAGCTTTGTGCTCGGACAATGGGAGAATCTCTGTTCCCCAGAGAGATTAGATCAGCTGAAGGAGACATTGCTTAACACAGGAAGTAGTTAATGCTCAAACAGAGCTCAGGGTCAGGTTCTTACCTCCTCCCTCACCCTTACCCAGCGTCGACCCCCGCCTCATGACAGTCCCCACTGGGGAGGAAGTTTTTCCTTCAGGGGAGAGTCAAAACAAATGTGACACATAAAGAGAGTCAGCAGCAGCGGAGCACGGGCGCGGACCCCTTCTCTGTCCGACATCTGTCTGACTTTTACCCATAAACCCCTGTGTTTGGGGTTGTTTCCTGTGCTCGGCTCTGATTACACCAGCCCTCGTAACGAGGAGACGGTCTTTGTGACGGTTTTAAGACCGCAGTTTAAACGCCGCTGCTTTTACCTGAAACACAAAGACGGCTCAGTGAGGCGCAGCGTTTTAAACAGCACACCAGGAACATGTCGGCCAAATTTGGTTTGAAATAAATGAGTTTCATTAAGTATAATTACCTGACCGAGGCAAATGAGTTTGTGTTGCACGCTGTTTTGTGGGCTGTCAAAATATAACATGTATTTGTTTATAGTTATTCCAAATGGTTTGAGGTTAGATGTATTGTGTACTTTATCAAGGGTTTTTAGCCATTTTCGCATTTATCGAAATATCTTAGATCAAACCGTTGACTATTAGCGAACCTGAGTTTTGGATCAAATCATTCCTACTAAAACAACCTATGGTTTCCATGGGAATTTAACAAATGTTCTCACTATTTTGTTCTTTTTCATCAGAGATTTTGATCATTTTTTTGGACAATAAATATTCACTAACCAAGCTGTAAATCTCCCAGTCGACTGGTCGATTTACAGGTTGATACAGTCTGGCTCAACCAAAATTCTGATTGGTCGAGTTTATTTTTTATTTTTTTTATTATAGTTTTTTGTGTTATGTTAACCAGGAGGAAAGTACCAATTGCTAATTGTTTTTTCTTCTTCAGAACAGACAGAACAAAGTGCTGTCAGAGCCAACAGACTGGAGTGTGTGATTCATTTTAGTGCAAAATAATTAGGTCCGAAAACCGAACCCTGTCTGAGACGTCACTGTGTTGTTGCAAAACAAAATTCACCTTTACAGTTTCCGTTCTGTGTTCATAATACCCGGTCATTACTGAAATACCATCCACAGTACTCTGAGTGACTGTGACATCATCGTCTCCTTCTTCACAGGTACGGAGGCCAGCTGTGATAATGAAGGTGAAGTCCTCCACATCCCCAACATCACAGACAACCCCTGCATCACCTGCGTCTGCCTGGTAATGATGAGACTTCTCATTCTTCTCAGCACATTGACACATTTACAGTTACTGCTGTCACCGTTATTGTTGCTGTTAGCTGCTGCACGTCTGTGCGCTGTGTTTGCAATTGTGTAGTTGCTGCGTCAGGCGTAGCAGTGTGACTGACAGTGTCAGAGGCACTGATAGTGATGTTTGCTGGACTGGTGTGAGGATTGTTATGTGTAGCTTGTGTGAAATGTTAGAACACAGTGATAGGAGTTGGAAATAGTACAAGAAAAAACACAAATAACTCTTGTCAAACCTTCAGCTGAACTGCGCTGTGGCATGGACCAGGCATCCAATCAAATCCAGCTACAGCCCGGCGTTATCACATCAGCACTACAAACTCCAAAAGCATCAGGATATTGTTTTTCTGCCTGGGATCCCTCAGGGATCAGACAGTTAAATTAGTGAATTTAATTAATGTTCAGTTCAACTGTCAATTCAGTCATTTTTTTCTGGCTAAAGAGTTTCAAGAATAAAAAATAATGTTTATAGTTTCAGGCCCAACATTCAGGACAAACACATTTCAATCTTTTGCCTCTAACATACGATGCCCGTCGTCATGTTGTCTTTGCGCCACTGATAAAAATCAAACCAACAAAATGTTAAGAGTGGAAAAACCCTCTTCCTGGAACATGTGCTCTTTGACCTCTGACCTGCAAACCTCCTCTCTGCTGTAGAGGTCTTTGTTTGGTGGCGATGAGACCAACAAAGCGTTTTTGTGTCACTGCGTAGGTACTGACCCGGTTTGGTTGTTAAAACGCTCCCAGGACTTTTTGGTGTGTGTGTGTGTGTGTGTGACTAGGCCGCTGTTTTCTGAACTTCTGGATGATGTTTCTTCCACTGCTCCAACGCAAAATAGAAAGTGGGAATGGTTTTTGGAAATGTCAGCAAACTGTTACATCATACAGCGTCCAAGTATATACAGTATAGTCACTCAATTCCAGTACGTCTTTTCATATCCCAAACATTTAATTGGCTTCCTGAAATCCCTCTCCGTCTCCTGATTGGCTGCGGCGAGGCTGCCCTCAGCTCAGACGTCCCCTCTGTTATCAGGCAGACATCAGCTGAAGCCTCGCTGAATGCTATCTGTCATCAGCAGGCAATGGTTGGCCTTTCATCTCCACTTTAGTCCCCCTAAACACACACACACACACACACACATACTAATAAACTCACATAGGGACTTGATCTGTATTGAATCTGACTTTAACTCCATGACGATCAAATAAGACAAATCAACACAAGAGTTCCTTCAATATATAGAAACTGATTTAAAATACATGATGCCCAGAGGTCAGAGTGATGAACTGTGATTAAAGATGGTCACATCCTGACCAAACAGACGTTAGCTCCAGCCTCTTTGTACCATTGTGTGAGCCTGGACTGAGGCAAGCCAGGCGTCTGACCTGAAGCTTCTAGAAATATGTGCCAGCTAAAATATAGACCCGGACAAAAATAATTAGGTACACTGCATGACATACGTATTCAGACATCACATCTAATCTTCCCAGACAATGGCCTGAGAATGTGACGACCTTTTTTCCTCAGACTTGTAACCTGAGTGAGCTGTGTCACAGTTCTATCTGACATACATGCATGGCAGCAGTGAGGCAGGTTGTTGGGGGTACGTGGCTCCTCCTTGGGTCCGGAGTACCTGCTAATGGCTCCATGGGCAGAGACACACACACAAAAGAGCTATGGTGTGTGTCCGGGTGAGGCCGGGCCATGTAATGGGGCCAGAAGTGGATGTAGCTGACAGACTGACTGACAAGCGGGTCGCCACGGTGATCTGTTATCTCAGAGGGCCTCAGCCCATCTCCGTCACGCTCTTCATCCCCCTCATCTATCTGTCTGTCCATCTTCCACTCTCTCAGCGGCTCTTCCTCCTGTCTCCTGCTCTTATACTGACTCCTTTCTTTTCTCTCTGGCAGTTCAGATGAACCCTCGCCAGCGTCCTGTCTCACATACGTGTAACTACGATGATAGCTGAGCTCATAACGGCTGACCACATATGAACCACTGCACATGTTCCATGTCACACGGGAGGTCCTGTGCCCACAGCATTGTATCAAATGCAGTTGCTCTGTTTCCTAAAGGCCTCTGTTCATGAAGATAAGTGTTTTATTGCTTCGATGAAACAGGAAATTAAGACAGAAATGTCTGTCAGGTGTTTGTTAAGACCAAGATTGTTTGTTTTATCTGATTGAATACAATAATGACATCACCGATTTAAGACATGTGGACCAGTCAAGTTCCTGCAATGTTAGAATGATTCCGTTATTGTTTTTTTTGTTTTTTTAAATCTCATTCAGCATTGAAGTACTTTATGATGGTGTGTTAGTGATCTGCACAACGACATTAACCACAGTCAAGTTACTACAAATATTCTGTCTGAAACTTTATTTCACCTCTAAGTGACACATTGTTGTTCTTCCTCCAGTTTTATGTTGTTCAACTATTTGCCTGCGTCATGTATTGTTTTTGCCCACCCATTGACACTCTCATGGTACTGTAGCCACAGTATAAAATACCCAAATATATACTGTTGTTATGGCCACTGTTGTCAGTGACACGTGTAGATTGTGGTTCTTTCTCCAAAGTCTTCTACTTCTAGCCAGGTTGTGGTTTCAGCTTCAACAGGTTAAACATTGGTGAAGAAATGTTTTCAAAGGGATAAGATAACAGTGTTAGCTTAGTGCTATCGTGTGATAAGCCCCGCCCCCTCCTGTATTGATCTGCTACTGTTTGAGTTGAGACATTAAGAGGAAACGACCTTTGTCTTTGTCACCGATCAATGGTGTACAACCCAGCACGGGTCTCCCCTCAACCTCTTGTCCAGATTAGCGTTAGTGGAAGTTTGATCCAATCTCAACTGAGATCGGACGACACAGAAGCCTTAACCGTCATTTGTGTTTGTATTTACCCTTAGCAGTCTTTTTTAATTTGACTTCATTCCCACTGGCAATGTCACTGCTCTGTACGATTGATCTATAATTAACCTAGAGCGACCTTATGGACACAGAACAGCAGGTTGGTTCTGTGACATCTGACCGTTGACCCCTGAATGTCCTGCTGCTTCTGTGTCGTGTTGTACATCGGGAAGCAAAGGTTTTTCTTCTCCTCTGCAAGTGGAGCTCAATAAATCAAAGCAGGATAAAAGAAGCAGCAGAGAAGTTTATGGTTGAGCGTCTAACTGTGTGTTCACGAAAACAAAGTAATCACTCTGCTGACCTCAGCTTTAAATGAAGAAAAACTATGATTTACAGCCGGGCTCGGCCTCACAGATTTGGTCATAATGATTTATAATCTCATTAAAACCTTTAAGAACAGAGTAAATCCGGAAAAACTGACAAAACGTGCCAGATATTTGAAAGGAGAGTTTGAGCAATGGACCAATCAGGTGCACTCTCTGTGGAGAGGTAACGATTGGAGTGGAGGGAACAGCTGCCTGTGGTGCAAAGCAAGCTAAAAATGTATGTATGTCATCAAACATGCCTTGCTCAACTTACATTGATCAACAGTCGCCCATGTGTTCACTGATTGTAGCAACAGCTTCTCCTATGGATCCTGATTGATTTAAAAAAAGAAAAATTCCCTTTGACGTCTTCCTCTTCTCGTCTCTTCCCCATAGCTGTGGCTCCTGTTCTCCAGCAGGGGGTCGAGACCTGTTTGTTTTGGAGGAAAGGGTTAAAGGTGTAAGGTCGTCGTAGAGAAGGGGGTTGAGGTTAGGGGAGAAGGTGGGGAACTGGAGTCAGAGGGCTTAAGTGGGGGCCTTAAAGTTTTAGAACTTCGCTCCCGCGATGACAGAGTCCGGCTGATCTCGTTGTCATTCACCAAGACACAGAGTATAAATGAGAAGCACTCGGTTGATACGCGGGCTAATAAGTTTTCATGAAACATCAAGAGTAGAGAGTTGACAGATGGACACAGGAATGATGGAAAACAGGAAGTCACTGGGAAAACTCATTAGATCTGTGATGAAACTCAAGATGGAAGCAAAGAAAAAAAAGACAGAGGAAGAGAAAGTGATGGATGAGGGAGGAAGTCAAGTGATGATTGGGAGGAAGAGAAAAAAGGCCCGGAACTTTTTTACCTCTTATGTGAAGAGCAGCTTTGACATCACCAGACTTATAAGCAATTATTTTTTTCATTATTAGTATAACCAGTGTATGACCTTCACAAACAAATATTTTACACTTTTTCATTTCATAATACAGTTCAAAAACATTTTAGTTTATTAGTCAGTATTTATTAGCACATCATTAGTATCACAATTATGAAACTTTAAAAGGTTTTATCATGCTTACTTCACATAGCACTAAAAACTATTAGTTTATGGAGAACACAAAAAAAAGAATTTCTTTAGCTAGTCAAAAGCATCCCACAGGGTACGATTTTGGGATCTTTTTTGTTTCCTTTTTTGGTAAATAATTTCAACTAGAAATACAATATATACGTGGATGATACTGTCATTTCCATATATGGATCTTCTTCAGTGCAAATTCTGTAAAGTTTCAGTCATTTTTGTTTAGTTTGGTTGTAGGATTAGAGTTAATCTCAGATTAAAGTTAAATTTAAGATTTTCCTAGAGTGAATGATGCAAAGTGAGGTGCTCACAAATTGCAAAAATGATGCAAAGTGAGGTGCTCACAAATCGCAAAAAAGTGTGGGTGTGCATATGTGTGTGTGGGTGTTGGGAGGGGATCACCCTCAGCGACAGACAGCCGTCCAGTCCTGTCTGGTGCCGTGCTGGTATGTTGAGTGTTTATAAGGCGTGGCGACCCATTATGACCTACGACCTCCGTGACAAGGGGAGGGGGTCTCATATACTAACACCACTTTGTGCTAATGAATAACATGAGAGTTGGCGAGAAGGACGTGACCTTGAAAACTCAAACCTAAATTGTCTGGAGGATTTTAAAGACCCATTCTCCCAAATCATGAAAATGTGTTTTTAAGGTCATTTAACTCAGTCCAGCTCATAAAACTGTGACTGTTTTGACCTGAGCTCATTTGAATCTCAGTCAATGACTGAACAATCAACCAGAATGTAACGTTAAATAGTCATATTTGACTGACTGATTTATAGTGTGTGTGCTTAAGATGGTAAATAAATGTGTTATCTAAATATTATAAGTTTAAAATAAATGGACTCTAAGTAAATCTGGTTTAATGTGTCATGCTGTGACATTCCCCAAAAATAATGTCATGGCCACAAGTTGGGCAGAAAGTTAACACGTTGTTTAATAACCATTTTTCTCCTCTGAAGTTTGTCTGGAGAATTTAATTATACAATTTGATTAGATTTACCCTGTTTTATAAGCTTTTGTTATTTTTGGGATTTTTTTCTTCAAACTTTAATTTTGCAATTTTACTTAACTTTTATTTACTGTGTTCGGGCGAAGATTGAGTATTATTTTTCTTTAGGCTTAGTCTTCCTCTTCTTCTTCTTGCCATTATTCTGCACTTATTTATTATTTATTTTCCAAAATCTCACCACATGCATGAACTATTGATATGCATCCCAGCATCTTCCACATCCACCTCAACCTCGCCGGTGCCATTGTCGCCCAGCTGTATGTCCATATATATTGCTTCTTTACGTGTTCTTTGTAAAACTGAAGCAGCTCAGTGACATTTACGTGTATTTTCTTCCTGCTCTGTGCTGCTCATGCCACCACAGTGGCACCTCTGTGGTTTGGTTCTATCTGTGCTCAGATTCAGGACAGAGATGAGTGGTGCTGTGGTCACATCATCTTGTGGGTTTTTGGTCAAACCCACAAGGAAAGAAGAGATGCAGGACCTAATCTGGTCAGACATATTAGGGCAGGCGGCACATTAACTGTACGTCTACTGTAATAGCTGAGCCAGTATGCACACACACAGACATATATACAGTATGTCATTACTGTATTGCAAATTTATATTTCCCTGAATATCAACTCTTGTTCACATGAATCCGTCTTTTTATGTCGTCCCTCTGGTTTATTTTACATCATCTGTCCCTTCTTTCCATCTCTGTCCCTCCATTTCTCCATCCATCCTCCTCCTCCTGTCATGACATCATCTGTCCTCAGTGTGGTTGGGGTTTTAGCTGCAGCACCGCTGCTATATTAAACCAACCCCGGTTTATTTTCACTCTCCTTTGATCCATCTTCGTTATAGCCGCCCTCCGCGGGGCCACGGGGCCACGGGACCCGCCAGCCTCCACTTTATAAATCCTCGCAGTGTGTAAAATAAAGCACACACAGCATGTGGATAAAATCAGCAATAAAAGCTGGGTGTGAAAGTGGAGAGGATTAAACTAGCACAGATTGGGACCAGTCCCAGAGTGCAGTTGGTGGCGATGACTGATCCAGCGGCGTGCAGTGTTTGTGGAGGTGACAGAAAGACTGGTGAAGTGGTGTGAAAACTCACAGCTAACCCGAGAACACTGAGTCACCTTTTTGTTTGGGGGGAGGGGGCAGGGTGGTGCAATTAAAGCTGTTAAAGTGAACAGAGCTAATGGTTTTAGAGCACAGTATGGAAGGAGATTAAAGTTAAAGAACGTAAAAATAATCAAAAGACCACATTGTGTTGGTTAGAAGTCAGACATGGCTGACTGGTAGGAATGATCAGTTCTTTCTTTTACTGGTCAGTGGTTCTAGTCAAGTCAAGGTGATTTGTAGAGCCTGAATTCCTCAAGTTACAGTTTTAAAATTAGAATTAAAATTGAATTATCCTCCAACAAATCCATATAATGGTGAGAAATTGAGGAATCAGAAATGTTTTAGTTTATATTAACAAAAAAGTCCAGTGTAATAAGTTTTTAAAATGTCATTGAAAACCAAACAAGCAAATGAGCAAGATTTTTGTGAGTTAGTGGCTAATTTGTTTGAAATCTGCTAGCTAGCAGGCTGTAGCTCAGTAGGTTGTGTAGGTCATCGTAAAGGTTGTGGGTTCCATTCCAGACTTGACAGGTTTTATGCCACCTCCAAGTAATATGATTGGTTTGATGGTAGTTTGGCTGATGTTGGAGCTGTTGGCTGTTTGGTCAATGGTTGGATTGATTGATTGACTGGTTGCTGAAATGAATATTATATTTTAAAATCTTGTTTATATTGTGACAAATCTTTATTTGTATCTAATACCATTACATGTTATTTAAGGTAAACATGATGACAGTAGCTTTGATTAAATGCTATTTGCAGAGTTGAGTTGTTTGTGTTCAAACATGAAGTTGTTGTCATAGCATATTCTTTACAGCGTGGTTCTCTAAACAGTACAGAACAAACTACTCCGCTGTAATAAAACAGATCAAATACATTTTTCCTCCAGTGGTCTATTCTGTTGGCAAAGCCTGGTAGAGAGGATATCGTTATTTAAATGTTTTCAGCACATGACTGTACTTTATAGGTCCACGTGGACATGTGTGTGTGAAGTACATAATAAATAATATAACCCTAATGTGGACGTTAGAGCTGGGAATGATTTCCTGAAGCACAAATTTCCTGTGTTTCCTCATAAAATCATATTCTCTAAACTTTAAGTCTGTGGTGGCTAAATTACAACTGTTCTATCGTAAAAGAATTTTCTGGCTAAACCTGTTACTCTTCTCATGTTCTCCTTCCTCTGCTGCAGGAAGGAAAAGCCGACTGTAAACAGGAGAAATGTCCGCTGGTCTCTGAAGACTGTGCTCTGGTGGTAAAACAGACCGGAGCCTGCTGTGAGAGGTGCAAAGGTGAGGCCGACACATGTACATGCATACGGCAATATTCAAGTTTCACAGAACCACTAACACACACACATTAGCACAGTAACAGGTCTGTGTTTGTTTTTTGTAGCACTTATTTTATTATATGGGAAGGTAAACTGGGAAATGTAATTACTGAGACAGAAGCAGAAACACACAGATGCTAACCAGACCACCTCTGTACACACACACACACACACACACTCTCACTTCAGGAGTCCATAAAAGAGCTGTACCTGAACAGTGAGGCCTGAATGTGAGCATGGGGAATAAAACTGTATTATCTACACCATAAACATCAGACTGTACCTCTGTTTTACCTCATACTTACGCAGACACACATGTCAACTTCTCAACTGGAGTCCATGTGAATTTTAGTAGTTTCATCAAAAGCAGAAAATTACTCACATACGTGGGCCATATTTTTTATATTACAATTTCGGCGTCATCATCTTCTCAAGATTATTAATCACATCATAATAAAAACATGCCACTGAAGCCTTGAGACCAAAAATCAAAATCAAACCCCCCCCCCACACACACACACAGAAGACGTGGGCAGAGCACAGAGTGGCTCATTATCATTTAAAAGGTGAGGGCCATTCAGAACAGAACAGGGCTGTAAAACAGGTGTGTGAAAAGTCCAGCTGTGCTTCATTCTTCTTTAATCAAACGTCAGGACACATTTCAAGGAGCCATATTGATTTGAATAAAGTAGCATAAAGTCTCTCCTTTTATATAGAAGAAGGTGTTTGATTTGAATAACTAAAACTAATCAGTACACCTGTAGGGGTCGCCGACAGCTTTCACAAGCTTCATCATTATGCATATGTGAACAGTGAGGGGATATTTACAGATTAGTTTTTGTTTGTTTTTCATTTTGTCTTAGAACTACTGACCTCCTTATAGTAGTTTCAGTTCCATATTCTAGTCTAGTTCGGTTCTCATCTCATTGAACCCAGGTAGTACTGTTGGACTACTTCCTGTTTGTTTCATCCATGCTGTTCTAAAGGTCACACAGTAAAAACGTGTTCGCCAGAAACCATTTTTCAGGTTTTTTACAACTTTGGGGGTTTTCGTCAGGAGAAACTCGGTTGCCATTTCTTTTTGAAAAAAAAAAAATATTTTGCAGTTTCTATAGTTTTGTACATTTTCATTTTCTCCTTACGAAACTTTGGGGTAAAGAAATATAAAATTTAACTTACCCAACTCAAAGGGCTCTGCAGGGGTGGGGCACTTTTGTTTTTGCGGTTTTGTGTTTTTACGACACAGGGCTTCATTAAAGCAGGTGGAACCAACACCAATCGGACACTAAAAACATCACATCACCACAGCAACCTCTTGTTAGTCTACAATTGTGTGGTCGACGTGTCGCCACTGTGACCAGTCTCATGCCCCCAGTGTGTCGTATCACTTTTATGAAATCATACAGTCATTTAAAGAGAATCAGAGGCTGACTGTACTCAAGAACTCACTTTAAAAACGGCCTTCATTAACTACGTGTAGCAGTGTTAGGGCGATCAGGGAACTCAGTTTCAGTGGGCCAGAGCCCTGAATGGTCTTAAAACTGTGGTTGCCAGGGTCACAGTGGCAACAAAACTGACTGTTGAGTCTAATCTCAATGGATGTTTAGGAAAAGAGGTTTTCACATGGAGATGTAATTTTGAACAGATATACAGTATACAGTATATACTGTATATATTTATGTCTTTCATTCTGCCCTGATATAATCAAGAAATCTATTTTTTATTTTAAAATTCCATTAAATAGTTAAGGAGAACATTTCATCCTAGTGCTAACAACTAACTAGCGTGACTTTTTAATTATGAACAAATAAAATTTCCCAAATTGAGCTTCGCCTAACGCTGTGGATAACAAGGTTTTTCCCTTCAGCCTTTCACTCTCAATCACAAGTCTTTGCTCTTCAGTGATGTCATAGGTACTTGTTTTTATTAATACAGTAACATATTCAAATCAGGAATGCTCGCCATAAATTAAATCCGATCAGTGCAATGTGCAAAAAAAAAAAATGTATGAGAGTAGAGAGAAGAAGTTGAATCTTTGGAACATAATTGTTAAGAAAAAATATTTTGTATTAAATTGTACATCATTTTATACTAACATTATCATCGTTTGTCATCATTTTTATTTATACATGAGCAAAAGTATGAAGAATAATTTATTGTAATTATGTTTGAATGGTTTACTAAATAAATGTCTGGATGTTGTCATTGCTGTACGACATTGGTTGGCACTTCTTGCATTGAAGTGTAACATTAACTGAAGGAGCTGAAGACATTTCCTGAATTGTCTTATAGCAATTAACGTCCTTCTTGATGGACCAGCTTTCCCAAGGCTGGAGTGAAAACCTTGAGGACTAGTTCTCTGTCACATCTCTTGATTTACATTAGGCTGAAAGGTCGTTATGGAATTATTGATCAGTAATGACAGGACCATGCTGCCTGTCCCAGCCTACACGGGGTTAACGTGAAAAAACTGCTGTCCAGGAACAGGATATGTTGAAGAGGAGTCTGTTACTGTCGAGTCAGATCGACCGCGGGTCGTCCTCCGCAGTGATACAGTATCACCAGGTTTGATTTACACAGAGGGAAGCAGCCGCTCTGATCACATGTCATTGTATGGAAAGTTAAACATTGATCTGAGACCACTTACTGTAAATGGGATGAAATGAATAGGCTTTTCATTTAGTGCTGAGTGGACAGAGTGGCATCCAAACACATCAATCAGGCATCTGATAACAAAAAAAAACCCCAACCTGTGTGTGTTACACTGTGATAAAATAAAATGTAAACAATATCTTGTCTTCCTGTGACCCTGAACAGGATAAGAGGCTGAAGATGGATGGATCTGGTTTTACTCTGTGACTGGATCTTTATTTTATTTATTTCTTCCTTTTTTTAGGCTGCATGTTGGATGGACAGTCTTACAACAGCTCTGTGTCCTGGACGTCGTCTGCCAAACCCTGCATAACTCGTCGATGTCAGGTACGCGTGTGTGTATGTCTGTGTGTGTCAGTCTGTGGATGGTAAAAGTGATGGTTTTATTAAGATTTAGAATGGAACTGAAAGGATAGAAAAAATGTGAAAAGGCAATCAGGGAAGAAAAGGGGAAAAAAGTTGTGGGTACAAAGACAAGTGAGTAGAACTGAAGGAAAGGCAGAGTGAGGCGAACAAGGAAATGTAAGCATCTTGATGTATAGATAGAAAAATGTCATTCCTAAGGAAACGTTAGCAGTATTTAACTAAATGAATATTTGCATATTCTCACATGTTGCACCTACTAACAAAATAAATGTTTCACTTTCCGGTTTGGACAGGAAGGTGTGGTCACTGAGGCGGAAGTGCAGTGTGTTGTCCACTGCAAGAATCCCAAAATCCACCCCAAGAAGTGCTGCCCCACCTGTCCCAGTGAGTATTACCCATGATGGACAGTCAACTGCCCTCACCTTGAACTGCATCACCTGTTCAGCAAGAACAAAAATCCATAGCCCTCAGGGAAAAAACAGTAGTCACCGCTCATTCCAATAGTTGGTAACCTTGAATTAAGGTTGTTTTTTTTGGTTGTTTTTTTGGGAAAATAAACTGATATAATATAATTTATTTTATTACCATTGGTAATACATTTAAGTTTTTACTATGAAGTATAAGTACTTAATTCAATGACATCAGAAAGTGCCTAAGGGTTACAAGTATTTTTTCCATTAATAACAGCAGCAATTCCACCCTGCTGGTTAAACTCCCAGTTTTTCCCTATAGTTGGGTATATATATATGTATATATATGTATCTATATATATGTATGTTATGCTTATTTTGTGTAACCTCTGTTTTTTTCACAGCTTGTATCTTTGAGGGGCGTCTGTACAAGGAGAAGGAGGAGTTTAGTCCAGAGGGAAAGCCCTGCATCAAGTGCACCTGCTCTGTAAGTACACACAGACACTCTCATACACACACACACACACACACACCCTTCCTCTCCTAAGGCTTATCCAAACAAACTGTACAGGTACATTCATTACCGCGTCACCGCACTAATGTGTTGGCACCCGGCTGCTGTGGAGCAGTTAACACCTTTACACATTTACAGGTTCATGCAGAAATGTTATATTTATACACACGTGCAGACATGTTTAATTCATTACTTCCTCAAACATGAGCCCGGACATGCAAGAGGAAACAGAAATGCAGAGAGTTCATATGGATTCATGTTCAAAGTTCAGGTTATAATATAATACAATACTTGTTTTATCCAGAGATTTTTGAATGTGTTTTGAAGGGTTTTAGTTTGAAAGTTAGAGATTGTTTATCACCAAATATCCTTATTTTTAAAAATGTTAAATATGATTTTATTTAAAATGTTTATGTGCTTGAGAAGTCAATATATTGCCATTGATGATAATAACTGAGGTCTGACCTGTGTTCACAGGGAGGAAGGACTCTGTGTGTGAGGGAGGTGTGTCCTGTTCTCTCATGCCCCGCCCACCTCAGCCATACCCCACCTGGACAATGCTGCCCTAGATGCCTTGGTAAAACAAATTAGTCAAAGTATTAATGAAAAAACTTTCAGATGTTCTGTTGCTGATTCCACTCTTACACACACTCCCACGTCCAATGACAATGAAAAGCAATGGTTTGAGCTCACAGTTTTTGGTGTCCTTCACTAAGCTAAAGTAAAGAAATGATAAGATTTTATGCAGAATGCTGGCAAAGCAACTGACAATGATAACATATACTGTATCTTCACTTCCTGATTCTCACTGTGTATCCTGTCGTCTGCTCTTCTCTTAGGTCAGAGGAAAGTGTTTGATCTGTCTTTAGGCAGCTGCCTTTTCCACAGCGACGTCTACGAGAACGGAACTTCCTTCATACATGACAACTGCACCACCTGCACATGCAGGGTACTGCAGTATTCCCTTAGAGATAGGATGGTAACACATCAAAACATCTTCATATAAATCCTTATTTATGGTTGTTGTTTACCTATTCTTCCCAGGATTCCACTGTGGTGTGTAAAAGACGGTGCTCAAGGCCTGGAAGTTGTCAGGGCAGCCAGTGCTGTGAGGAGTGTCTGTCCTACGTCAAGGTGGAGGAGGTGAAGTACTGCAGAGTCAAGAACAAGATCTACCGGGTAAGAGAGGAGATGATGGATGGATGGATGGATAGATGGATAGATAAAAGTTACACTCACATCATTGTGTTTCTTCTCTTACAGGAAGGTGACATGTGGTCTTCAGTTAACTGCTCCCTTTGTGCCTGTGTAAAAGGAAACATAGAGTGTCGACCCAAACAGTGTGTGCCAATCACAAGCTGCCCCTCGGTGAGTGAAAGGCTCTGCAGCCAATCCTCATGCTGTATTGTTTTGGCAGCATTCAAATGATGATGATGATGATGATGATGATAGTAATCCTTCCTTGGTTCATAGTTCATTTGTGTCATGTCTGCACCTAAGTCTTCTCTTCCCACCAATTAAAGCGAGACATTTTCTGTCAAACGCTGTGAGAAACGCTGCACTCACCTGTCGCAGAGGTCACTTGGGGGCTTTCTGTCTGCTGCTGGGTGATGAAGTGAATTCCACACATACCCTTGGCCACTGTCGGCCATACAGTGTCAACGTTGGACCAAGTTCACACACTTTCAACAATTATAACAAGCCCTCACCTGTTGTTAGTGGTCAACAGCGAACTGATGTAGGTGGTCTGGCTTCACAGCAAAGACCAATTACTATTTCACAAAAAAAACATGTTTTTACAGCAAGGGTGGTTGGATTTAACAAATAAAAAAAATAACTCAAGATTCAAGGTTCAAGATTATTAGTTTTGAACAGATTTCAACGATGTATTCCAACATTTCTTAAACTGTCATGAATCAGATTAAATATTAAAAGTTAGGAATCTAAAGAGCTTAAAATGGGGCTGAAAGAAAGAAAGAAGAAAACACTTCAACATATACTACAAAAAGATCTGTTGGTCAAAGTTGGCAACAACGGCATAACAGCAAAGAGATAAATAAAAAAAATGATTTTAGAAGAAGTTTAGGGCCAAATGAATCCTAACTTCTATTTTAATGATTATTTTTTAATAGATGTACACTTACAAATTGACCCGACCTGTCAATCTGATATCCATCATTGGACATGTTGGGTTCATTCGGCTGCTCTGTGGCCTATATCAGATGTATGTTTTTTATAGGAACATCAACTGAGTCATTTAAAGATGATTGTAACAGAAAGTAAACAGCCGAAGTCAATGACAGAAAATTGCTAAATCTGTTGTGATACCGAACCTACACACATACACTAGTCCTATAGTACCAAGAGCGTGAGCCTCAGTCATGGAAAGGTCATGTCATGGACACACTCCTGGGCCGTCATCCTGCGGTCAGCGGCAGGTCGACAGAGTGTGTGCATCCCTGTGGAGACAGTGTGTCTCCCAATAGCCTTTTGTCTGTGTGACGTTTGAGTGGCAGCAAAGAAGAGGTTCCCTATATTTAGGCCCCCTGAAAACCTATCTCTGTCACTGTGTGTGTGTGTGTGTGTGTGTGTGTGTCTTCAAAGAGAGACAGAGAGAGAGTGCCCTTTGTGCTGCGGTTAGGACTCTGAAGTGTGTATTGAGCGTATGGAGAATGTCTGATGTGATGACAGACGAGGTGTGTGTGTGTGTGTGTGTGTCTGTGTAGGGCTTCCCTAAGGCAACAAAAAGTAGGTGTGTGAAAGAGTTCTGTGATCTGTGCTTCTGATGGAAGTTGAAACACACACACACTCAGAGGTTCCTCTTACACAGGCTGCGGTTGAACTGACGTCTTTGTATTCTGTGTTTGTGTTCTGATTTGACTGTGATCTCACCAAACAGAAACATTTCCTATGTTTTGATCCTCGGTGGAGTTTGTTGAGTAACATCCGTAGACAGAATCACTTCACAAAAATCACAAAATCTGAGGATTGTCGGATTTCATTGGCAGGTTGTTGAAATTCTTCAATTCAGGAATAAAAGCTCTCTGTTTTGAGCTGCTTTCGTTTCATGAGCGTGACCTCAGAAAACAGGTCTCTGGAAACAGGTCAAGAGGCCTGACGGTCTTTGTACTAGTACCAGTAGATGACTCAAGCCAAGTCCCCCAACACACAATATATGGATATGGAAAGTTTGGGAATTGGACCAACAGGAGGAAATGACATAGGCGTTAAGACTACAAAAACGTATCTTAATCAAAGGATGTGATTCTGTGTTCACCATGTTGTTCCAATGAGGTCCATAAACCATCCACATAAATACTTCCTTCACATATCGTCACAATTCTTTCACATATAAATAATGTCACATTTTCAAACATCTTATTTTTATATACTTATATATATCTTTTAACATTATTATTTTTAATTAAAATATTATTTTACTTTTTTCTTTATTTTCTGTATCTGTAATCATATGAAAAAAAACTACTGAACAAAGTATATTTGTACTTATATATGTATATTTGTGTTTTTATGCTGAAACACAATAAATAATAGGTGCTTTTGCCCAGAGGCAATGTCTCTGTCATTGGTGTGGAACCCCAGGGTTCACCTCCTGGGCAAGTTTGAATCTCTGTTAGGGCGGTTGGTACCTTCCAGTGGACTCACCACCTGCAGGAAGGATTGGAGGGTTGGTACGGTGCAGTGTGATTTGGGTGGCGACTGCTGCCACGCGACCCGGTAACGGATAAGCGGATGAAAATGGATGGATGGATGGGACAATAATAATAATAAATAAAAGTTAAAGAAGAGGCCTACAAGTTGGCTGAATCAAACTATCAATAAAAGAGTAATCAGGAATTGCAGTATTTTGTTAGAACTCACCTCTCAAATCATTTAATTTTAAACATGCCCGGACTTCAGCGCAATGACATTTGTGAACCCTGGGCTTCATGGTTATTTCAAGGCTTTAAATGGTCACTGAGTAGAATTCACCCGTTAACACTGAAAATTAAACTTGAGTCTGTGATGATGATCATGATGCCATTTGCTGTTTCTCAACTCTCTTGTCTTAAACTGTTTTTTTTACTTTCCTGCCACTGTTTCCAACACTCTGGTCTCATTGTCTTCCAGAACAAGATCCTGAACAGAACTGGCTGCTGCCCAGTTTGCACTGAAAGTGAGTAAGTCCTTCTGAACATTCAATTAAGGCATCACCATGAGTTGAAATATGTAGCTGTAGCTGTGAAAGTGGATATTGATTAGTTCTGTTCAGTGTAATGTTACCAGACAATCACGTGAACATGAATAGGCCTCATTCAGGGCAGTGAACCCAGGTCTCCTTCCAGCTGCTGAAGTGTTTCCCATGAACATCCTACCAGACCGTGGTTTGCCCTTGGGTCGTTTTTACTTTGTGTTTTGGCTGCGAAATGCAACAAAAAACCCAAATGGCCTTAAATGTACCATTTGAGGACTTCAAAGTTTCTTTAACCTCACTTCACTATAATAAAGTTATACTATTATATATAGTAAAGTTTAGTTTGGTCGGTGAACACAGGTTTTACGTCCCCTTTTTCTTTCCGGACTCTGACAGATTTGTGCCACATCTAGTATTTCACTTATCACCAATGATCTCTTTGCTACATCAGCATGTTTCCTTCAAAGAGTCCACCAATGTAGGCTGTGTCCTAGGACATGAACCTAACTACTGGACCACTGTGGGTATTTTTTTATTCCTCTTTTCCTTCCCTAACCTATTTCTGTTTCTCTTTTTTTTAACTCTCTGCAGAGCCTGGTGTATGCACAGTGTTTGGGGATCCTCACTACAACACATTCGATGGAAGGACCTTTAACTTTCAGGGAACCTGTCAGTACGTACTGGCCCATGATTGTAGTGGAATTGTGGCGGGAAGTCCAGGAACAAATATCAACATTAACAGCCCTGAATCTGGCTTCACGGTAGGAAAACTTTGGAGTTTAGATTTAAGTGTTAAAGATGAACTAATGAGCATTGAAGTTTTATTTCTTATATACTGCTTCACAATTGATATCTTAACAGAAAAACCTCTAAGATGACCCCGTGTTAGTTAGGTATCTCGGTTATGTATATATCTGTTACATCTCAAAGCTGTTGATAAAACATACCAAAAAATATTAATCCAAGCTACAAAAGACAGAATATAGACTTAAAAATTAATGTTTTCTTCAATGAAAATTCTGTCCTGGGGAGAGATATAATTATTTTGTTAATGTTATAATATAACAAATGTGTATCAGACATGCTGTGAATTCATTCAGTCACTAATTTTAACTTTTTTTTTATTGTTTCTGAGCACAAATCCGCGACCACTTGGTTCTAATAAACTATAAAATTCTGAAGTTCAGAGTTGTTTTATAATAATAATGTGTTTGTAAAATCCTCAGCTTTTCTTGGAATAGTCAACAAACATCTAACAAACATCTTCACTTCCAATATGCGTATGACTCCCAGGTGTTGGTAAAGAATGATGCACGACGGACTCGCTCTTTCTCCTGGACCCAGTCTGTGGAGGTCAGACTGGGAAGTCTGGTTCTGGGTCTCCACCAACACCTCACTGTTCGGAAAAACGGCACACGCATTGCTCTACCCTACCATGGCCCAGGGGTTCACATCGACCTGGACGGATACCTGCTTAAACTCACCACCATTGCAGGTTAGAACACATGATGTTTGTTTGACACTTTTAAAGACTAAAAAATATACCTGCTTTTAAATCTGTGTATTAATTTTTGTCATTCTTAGTTAAAGTTGTAGTTCTTTTGAAGAGTGAGGCCAAAGCTGTTGAAAAAGAAATTGATTATGATTCCATCCTTTTATGCGCAGGTCTGGAGATTACCTGGGATGGAGACAGTTTCGTCGAGGTTGTAGCCGCCCCACACCTTCGTGGGCGTCTCTGCGGTCTTTGCGGTAACTACAACGGCCACAAGCGGGACGACACCATGGGAGGCGATGGGCAGTTCAAGTTTGATGTGGACGAGTTTGCAGAGTCGTGGCGTGTGGACGGGAATGAAGTTTGTACTCAGCAGTATCCACCCCGGAGACCCACGTCCTTTCTGTGCCCTGGCAGTGTCAAGGTCAAGTTCCGGGCTCACAGGGAGTGTCAAAAGATAAAGTCCTGGGAGTTCCAGAAGTGTCACCGTGTGGTCGACTTTGGTCCTTTCTACAGGTGATTAATTAAATGTACTCATTTATGCTTCTAAACATTCCTGATCTGCACCCAACACTAACATCTCTCATACTCTGATCAAGTAATCAAATACTGCCCCCTGCAGGTCGTGTGTGACGGACATGTGCGAGTGCCCAGTTCATAAAAACTGCTACTGCGAGTCCTTTATTGCCTACAGTCGAGCATGTGAGAGGGAGGGAGTCCCAGTTCTGTGGAAGGCGGACACCGCCTGTATGGGTGAGTGATAACATCTCTGCCTACAAATGTTGGCTGAGCTAAAAGATGGACTGTAGCATTTCACTTTAACACTTTTCTTACTCAGTTACTCATGAAACATTTGTTTAGTTGAACACAACTCTTATATAACTGCAGGAATTGAAGAAAGACACATAAAGATCTCTAAGAGTCACTCTCTTTTTTAGGTTTCATAGTCAGCTGCTGCCACCTAGTGAAAGAGTTTATAATTGTTCTGGAGTCATTGTTGCCTAGACAAAGATACATTATTTATTTATTTATTATTTTTAATATTATTTGCAGTAAATAAATAATGGTTTTTAAACCAATGAAGTATTTATGTAAAATTCATATGATGTCAATACAAAATGTTTAAAGGGGCACATTATACTAGATGATCCTGCATCACATACTACTGTGCCAACCACCCAGTGGTTGGGAACCAGTAGGCTAGAACATGGAGATGTGGTGATGTCACCATCCATTTTTTAACTATCAATATATTTGACTTTCCTCCATCAGCCACTCAGTGTAAACACGGTGCTGTGTACGACACCTGCGGACCAGGCTGTACCAAAACCTGTGACAACTGGAATGAGATTGGACCGTGCCACAAGCCCTGCGTGGCCGGCTGTCACTGTCCTGCCAACCTGGTGCTGTTTCAGGGACGTTGCATCAAACCCATATCCTGCCCGGGACGGTGACCCTTGTGATCTGGGAGGGAGGGGGGTTTAGATTAGTTCAGGTCAGGTAACAGGGATAAAGGTCATTTAGGAAACACACAGTGCCCACCTGTAAAACAAAGACTTTGAAGCGTCAGGTGCCACAACGTACTCTGAGTCTACAGTGAAGGACTGAAGTGGAACAATGTGGATGTGAGGCTGATCCTCACTGCAGCTTCAGCCTCTGACTCTCTGTAAACCATGAACCTGTAGGAGGGATTGTAGGGATCTGGAGATTCCACGATCTGTGACCGTGGACACTCAGGAAACAATCAGGGCCGATGGACTCCTGTCAGAGCCAACTCTTCGGCCCAGTCTCTCTCTCACAGACATTTTGACTTCCGGGAGAGCGTGATACAAAGCAGAGAGTCGTGTCTGATGCAAAAAACTGTCCTCGTGATCCTCATTTCATACTGTAAGCTAACCAGATTTATATCAAAGACAGCGTTTATATTATTATAATAATTATTATTATTGATGTTGTTGTTTGAAGTATAATTATTATATTGTTGATATTTGTTAATTTATACATTAGTCAGGCGACATCTCGTAGCAAGAGCCAGGATCATGAGTATATGAGTTCTAAATAATTTTTAAAGGGAAACAGCTATTTATGTTTTTGTAGTGTTACTGTTGTGTTACTGTGACTCAGTTGTTGCACCACCGCAGGGAAAAAAGTACTGTATTGTGTTTCTGCTCCGTGTACAGCTGCTCCGTGTACAGCTGCTCCGTGTACAGCTGCTCCGTGTACAGCGTTGTTGTGGTTCGTGTCAAAACTGAAGGTGTTCATCCAAAACATATGTTTCACTTGACAATGATTATTTAAGACCAGCAATATAATCTTTTTATCCAAGTTCACTTTGGACCTGTCTTCTGTTCACTGCAGTTGTGAAATACTGCAACTGTACACAGGACACAAATCATCCGTGCCAAAGCCTGAGGGTTTGAATCCCGTCAAAAATGTGGGTAATTAACAAAGCCAAGGAAAGAAGCATTGCAGCTGTTCAATGTACCCTGTAAATTGGTGTGTTTTTATTGAACAGCAGCAGATCCTCTGCCTCCGTCTCATGCTGTCCGTAACCTTCTCCACTGCTACACTAAACCGCCTGTCCAAGAGTCTTTTCTGTGGTGTTTCTCTTCAACTAACTACTAACACTATCTCTCCTCAGCAGATGTCTTGTCCACCTCTACCTTTTGCTCCTTGTGTTTATCCCCAAATTGCCTCACCTGAAATCTGTCTCATCATCTTCTCAGGTCAGAGTTTAATATTTTATTTGGTGATTAGATTATTTTCTCATGGGATCAAATCACAAAATGACAGGATGTTGTTTCTCACAAATATAAAATATTTCCCTGTAATATTGAGATTGCACTTCATCTTTATTAGATATTTGATAATATTAATCATGTTGTTTTTCATAATTGAGAGCTAGTCTCTCTGCCCCAGAGTCTTTCTCTGGGGCAGAGGTGGCTTAATGGTTAAGGAAGCTTGACTTGGGTCTGGAAGGCTTTAGGTTTGAGTCCACCAGCTGCCGCGTTACCACTGAGGTGCTCTGAGCATGACACCGTCCCCACACACTGCTCCCTGGGTGCTTAAAGCTGCCCACTGTTCACTTTGGTGATGGGTTAAAACCAGAGGTCATATTTGGTTGTGAGCAGTGGTGGGCTGTGTCACAATGACAAGGGTGAACTCCTTTATTCACTTTATTTTTGACAATGTGTTGCATCATTTAATTTGTCTTCCTGAGATTGTTTCTCATTATCATGAGATGGTTCCTTTTATTTTTGACATACTTCTTTATTACCATCACAGAGTTTCTCATGATAATGAGATAATTTCTCATTACAGGACAGTATTCTGATATAGTATTTTACATATTTAGAAAAGATCTGACTATGAAGGTTTGTTATGTTGGTCCTCATTATTATATTAAAAAAATCTATATTTTTAAGTTAGTATGCTGTATTTTTAGAGAGTTAATCATTGCGAAATATTAATATATTATCACGAGATCAGAGATTGCGTTACAATATGACCATTTCTCAGCATTTTAACTTATACATTAATTAATGTTATGTTATTAATTGATTTTTTTATTATCACAATGGCACTGTTGAACAGGAGAACCTGAAAAGCTTTGAAAAGTGAGATATTTTGTCACATGTAAGAGCTTTTTTAAATCAGTCATTAGATCAAGCAGCTCCAGCTTTCCATATGTTCAAAGGTAAGAATGGACAGGTGAGTAATACATGTAAATGTAATGTAGTGTTAACAGTACTGTATGTTAGTAATTTTTTTTGGGATGGGCTTGATGGCTGAGAAAGCGAACCTGGGTCCGGAAGGCTTCAGGTCTGAGTCCACCAGCTGCCGCGTTACCACTGAGGTGCTCTGAGCATGGCACTGTCCCCACACACTGCTTGTGGAACTCCCATGGTGCAGTGCATACTCTCCCTTCAACCATTAACCTTCTCCTCATTTGATATAAAACTTTTTGCCTACCTTTTCACAAGAAAACCTTATACAGTATATTTATAAGGAATCAAAGGAATTAGTCTATACGTTCATTATTTAACCACCTCTTGATTTGGAAAACTTTTGTCTTTAATCCAAACACTACAAGTGCTGTGACCATAGTTACATCATGACCCTTCTTATCAGGTCAGCCAAAAGAAAAAAAGAAAATAAACACCACTTAAGAAACATATAAAACAGAACATTTTAAACTGACATTTAATACACTTCAAATGTGTACATACACATTAACGTAAACATTTTCACTAAACTGGACTAAAAGTCAATGTTGACATTTTTAACTTTTTTTTAACATTTAATAAGAACAGAAATCCCCCATAATAAGCTGGGGAACAGGATACTGTCAAAGTGAATTACAGTCAACTCTTTCCTGCACAGCACTACTATGAAACAACAACGTACTACAGTGAAAACCTGTGATGACAGATACTGTAATTCTACAACACTGTATACAGAAGTAAAAAGATATTCACTGAACATCCAGCCATATAACATTCTGAGTTCAACCACTAATGTCAGTACCTTTGACCTCACCGTCACTCAGTATTGTACAGTGAAGCCATTGATCCTTTCATCTCTTTGGCAGGAAACGACACATTCACCTGGTTTTCCAGTCTGAAACTCTGTTTAAGGCAGAACTGGTGCAGGTTTTCTTGAGATGTATGTGGAATACTACACAAACAGTAACAGTAGTGTATCAATAACAAAGAAAGAACTGAATGAAAAAGAATCCTACTTTTTAAACCACAAATGGAAGAGGAAGCTTATCCAGTGTGCCACATGATGTTGCTAATACTGCAATTAATTTATTTAACTGTATTTCTCCCCATTTTTTTACGATGGTGTGATTTAAAAAAAGCTAAAATAACAATACCTAGTATTAACTAGTCTAAAAACTTATGCAATTTCATTTTCTTAGATTCTTGCTAAAAAAGTAAAAACATCTGAAAAATGTTAAAACTTGTTTCACTTGATAATCTGTAAATCTGGTTACATTTTTGTCTAAAAAAGTAAAATCTCTTAAATAGAATGGATATGGAACAGTGTCTATATGTATTTAGATGTTTTCAACAAACACAATGAAGATAAATACCTCAACCCTCAGGTCTCTACTTTGTTACCGTGAAGCCAAAACAAGACAAAAAGAGATAAAACTAGCTGCTCTGAGTAAAGAAAATATGTTTCTGCGCTCTCTTATATATAATCTTTCCAAACCTTTCAAGTTAAAGTTTCCTTTTCTAAACCTCTGCTATACAAAACAAAATAAACATCTAATAAAAAATACACTCTTTTAACTTCCAGGCTGGTGGCCTCTGAGGAGATACTAAAAATAAAGTAGAAATGAGATATACAGCTGGAGATAACTGCCACAGAGGAGCAGGAGGAGGAGAAAGAGTGAGGACGAATCAGAAGAAATCAGTCGTCGTCACTGTCGCTGCCTGACTCACTGAGCTGGAGGTCATTTCCTGTGACAGAGAGAGAGGGAAAAAAAAGAGTCAGTGAAGCAGGTTAGTGAAGGTGAAGTGAATGTCAATGTGACTCATGTTGGTTCGCAAAATGAGTTTTGAAAACAAATATTTTATATATATAAATTACATTTTGTAAAGTGGAAATTACAATTTAAACTCAACTCAAAAAGAGTTGAAAACATACAAACAAAACTGTGTCTGTGTAACAACTCACTGAGGGTATTCATGAGCTGGTTGTTGCCCTGCTGCCAGTCAGCTCCTCCGTTGACCATAGGCTGGCGGCTGGGCGAAGTCTGACTCAGTGGTCTTGAGGTGTCGTGTTCGCCGTCGCTGCTGCTGTCGTCACCACTCCCTGCGGCGCTGCCTGAGTCAGAGGAGCTACTGCTGCCACTGCTGCTCATCTGTTCGATCACATCCACCTCCGCTCGCAGCTCTTACAGCAGTGAAAGGGATAATGTTAAAACACCTCATGTACAAACTTTTCCCTGTAGTGTTTTTTCCAAAGGCTATTAAATCTTCACCTCTCTTGATGTCATCCAGCTGGGGTTCTGGAGATGGGTTATCCTTTGATGGAGATGGTGATGTTTTAACACCTGCCCCAGGTTTAGTGGGGGCCCTAAACTGAGAGCTGGGCTGGTTTGACCGCACCGACTGCTGCTCTATCCGGGCCTGAATCTTACTGCTGCCCTCTGCCCTGTAACACAAAACAACAACAAATATAACAAGAGAAGAAAATGTTCTTTTTTAAGTTAAGTTGCTTAAAGTGCAATATGCTATGTTTTAACAGAGTTGTTCAGATAGCTCCACATTCGTCGTTACTTTGACTTCCTAAATTTGTTGTAGTAAGAACTATTGTCCACAAGGCAGAGACAACACATCAGAAGGCTGAAATGCATGTTATAAACACATCCATTCGTTAGATATGAAGTAAATTAACAACATTTGTTTTGTAGTTTAAATGAATTGTAGTGATGTAGCAAGTTCTGCTTATTTCAAACTAAAATTGTATTTAAGGAACTTCAGTTATTGCTATAAAAATATGAATGAATTATACTTTTTGAAAGTGTTTATTTTAGTTATTTACTTTTTATGCAAATTTTAATGCCTTACCTAGTTTTCTTGACCTGAATGCTGCTGCTCAGCTTCTCCAAGACAAATTCACCAGTGTCATGATTAATGATGAGAACGCAGTCTTTCTGGTAAGGCCGCTTATTTCCTTTGAACACAGTCATGGGGGGTGTGGAGCCCTGAGGGAATGCAGTAAATGTGATCCAGCAATTTTGTATGTCAGAAAGAATAATTCACTATGAACGTGTTACTTTAAATTGTTTTACTTTAAATTTACTACGTAAACAATGATGATCCTGATTTGTAATGAATGGAGAAAGTTTATCATACGTGAATGATCAAAACAGACATTCTGTGTCTCATTGTTTTGTAGAGGAGCTCGGTAATTTCCCATGTGGTTCCCGTGAATTATTTACTTAATTTCATGTACATATACTTTTGTAAAGATGCATACAGAGCAGATTGAAACACTGCAGTGGTATTACCGGAATGTGAGGTAATGTGATGGTGACTTCATCCCCTTTCCCAACTTGTAGCTCTCCCTCGCAGCTTGTGTCGATAGACGCTGGTTTAAAGTCATCTATAAAAGTGAAAATGATCCAGACAAACTGTAAATGTTATATGCAGCAAACTGTAGTAAATGGTTATTATAATTAGAGAGCAAACTGTATCATATTTAATATCTAATAATGGCACAGTTTTCTACATCCTATTTTATGTCATGTATATAATACATATTTAATAATCACGTTTATTATTAATTTTACAATGTAGGTGATTACGCGCTTCACTGCCCATTTAAATATTCGAAAACTCCCTCGAACATCTAATTGACTATGCAAAACAGTTTGATACTGTTTTACCATTGTTCTTTCAATTATTCTTTGTTGACACTTACATCTAATAGTGTGAAACAAAGACTTTGGCCTCTTCTCGAAGCTTTCTCCGAGCTTTAAAACATGATCCTCTTTGTCCAGCAGTGGGTTCGTGCTCCCGTTCATCGCTTCGTTTGCTTTATAACGACACGTTTATAAAATCACATTTATCACTGAAATCCAAAGCGGGTCCGTTAAACTTGAAATTTATAAATAAAACTATGAGATAAAGTTAGCCTGTCGTGGCTAACTCTTAGCAAAACATCTCTGACGTCACGACAAACCGCCCCTTCCGGTTTTGGTCCGGCCGTAAATCCTTGCCGTAGCATTTCTTGTTTTAATCTTCAAAAATAAACGACAAAAAGAACATCCGTATCAATTCGATTGACAAAAGTAACATAATTTAACACTATTTACATGGAAAATTGTAATTAGTCAACAAATGTATCCCACTAAACGAAATACAATTTAGTTTACGGCGTGGCGAACAAATTGGAGTGACGGACAATATGGACGAAAACTCAAAAGGAAGATAGTAACAACACTGTTTGTAAGATAAAACTGTTTTGGTTTATTTGAATTAGCGTCCTCCATCAGTGTAATGTGCTACTAGGCAAAAGCAAAAAGGCGTAAAATATTTTATAGGCAGCATGGAGCCACTCCTGTCCGTAGACGAGGGTTCCAAAGAGAACATGCATGTCCCAGAACAGACAGAAACCCCCGTTCCAAGAACTTTAACTCAACAGGAGCTGGATAGACTGGGTGCAGAGCAGACATTGGTGTCCAACTTCAAGCTGATGAAATTAGAGCAAGAAGCCCAAAAGAACTGGGATTTGTTCTACAAAAGGAATACGACTAATTTCTTCAAAGACAGGCACTGGACCACCAGAGAGTTCGAAGAGCTGAAAGCGTGTCGGGAGGTAAAGAGCAAAATACGAATAATTAATTTGTCGTGCGTTTTTTTTTTGTTTATATATATACTGTATATGTGTCCATATATATATGTGTGTGTGTATGTATATATATATATATATATATATATATGCACCCATCCATCAATTTTCATCATATATATGTATAAATGTGTGTGTATATGTATATATATATACATATATATTTATATATGTGTGACATGTGACACGTTTTCTTTGCTTTAAGAGGTACTGTATGTATATATATATATATATATATATATGTACCATATGTACTTTTTGTGAGCAGATCATGGCTGCTGCAATATTAGCAGAGTTAGACAGAGTTTAGACCGACAGTCAAATGTTTCCCATATCTGTTTTTTAACACTGATTGAAAGAGGTGCGGTGCTGACAGGTACGAAGCAGTTTTAGAATAAAGTAATCTATTTGGAAACTTTATTTTATAATGTCCAAATGCAGCATTTTATACTTTAAATACAAATATATTTTAAAATCAGGTTGATTTATATTTTAATATATCTGGACAGGTCTTCAGTAAGGAAAGGAAAGTGAACTACTTGTCATTGTGACACAGCACACCACTGCACACAACGAAATGCGACCTCTTCATTTTACCCATCACCATAGTCAACAGGGGGCAGCTTAAGCACCCGGGGAGCTGTGCGTGTGGACGGTGCCATGCTCAGAGCACCTCAGTGGTAACTTGGCAGCTGGTGGACTCAAACCAGAAACCTTCGGGACCCATGTCTGCTTCCTTAGCCACCACTGCCCCTTAATTAAAGTTATAAATGTTTGGTGAATAAATCAGCAATGAAGAAATCAGTAATTTTATTCATTTTAAATACATTTTAAAAAGTGTTGTAGATGGATATGGCAACAAACAGATGTTATGGTTTTGTGGGGTTTTTTTTTTACAGTTTGAATCACAAAAGTTGGTGCTACTGGAGGCAGGCTGTGGGGGAGGGAACTGCATTTTCCCACTGCTTGAAGAAGACCTTAACATCTTTGTGTATGCCTGCGACTTCTCACCACGAGCTGTTGATTTTGTCAAGGTAAGACGTTGCTATTAAATTGCTATTGAAATTAAGTCATAACCCTATATGCCTGTTGTTGTTACACTGAACCACCCAGTTACAAGAAGACCATGTCCCTTCTGTTAACAGCAAAATCCACTGTATTGCCCAGAGAGATGTTGTGCCTTTCAGTGCGATTTAACTAAAGATGACTTGAGGACAAATGTGCCAGAGGGCAGTGTGGATGTCATCACGTTAATCTTTGTCCTGTCTGCCATTCATCCAGATAAGATGAAGATGGCTTTGCAGAACATTAGCAGGGTGAGAACATCATATTTGTAATCATTTCATTATAATAAGAACTTATATTAATTGTTGATGATTGTAGTTTTTTTTATGGCAAATTTTATTTTTTCAAGGTGCTGAAGCCTGGTGGCATGGTGTTGTTTAGGGATTATGGTCTCTATGACCATGCCATGCTCCGATTCAAAGCTGGAAACAAGTTGGGGGAGAACTTCTATGTTCGCCAAGATGGAACCAGATCCTACTTTTTCTCTAAAGGTCAGAAATGTTTTTTTCTCTCTCTCACTTTATTGAAACATAGGTAAGACAATGTACAGAAGATATTTTGTGATTTTTACCTTCTATACTGCTTCACATGTGAATTTTTTTAAAAATCAAAATAGATAGAAGGTTGAGTTTGTATTAGTCTCAGCACTGTACATACCATGGCTCCAGAGTGCAATTTATCTAGGCTCATACCAAGTAAATAAAATGTTTTCAAAAATGAATAAAAATGCACTAAATTACCCCAAAACATGTAGCTAGGTCCATTTCAATGCTTAAAATTCAGAGAAAAATACATTTTTGGAACATCCACCTTTGATCATTACTGATATCTATGCAAATAATTTTCAAAAAAAGTCTTAAAAGATAAAAGAATTACAAAAATGAATAGAAATGCACTAAATTGCCTAAAAACATGTAGCTAAGCCCATTTTATTGCTTAAAATCGAGAAAAAATACATTATTGGAACATCCACTTTTGATGAACATGTAGCCCGTTTCAATCCATGCAACACATGATATGAAAGGTGTCACATAAATAATACATAAAATACTTCATGTCATAAGAAGTGGACGTTACTATTTAGCTGCGAACCACCACCAGTTCTAATTGTTGCAGTATTTTGTGGCCTTTTGTGTTTCCTGTTCCTGAAGTCCAAAGCTTGTTCTTATTGGCTGTTTCCAGAATTCCTGGCTGAGATCTTTGAAGACCAAGGATTTCAAACTATTACCAACGACTACGTCCTGAGAGAGACTGTAAACAAGAAGGAAGGACTCTGTGTCCCCAGAGTCTTTCTGCAGAGTAAATTCACTAAGCCCTGTGTTTCAGGCAGTTCCTGATCTCACCTGTGTTCTTTATGAATGAGGAACAATAAGAGTGAGACGCTCAAATGAAAGGAGGTCTCAGTGACTCTTCGTAGCTGCCAACATTAAAGGGAACATTTTTTTTGGTAGGTAAAGACTCACACTGTTGTGGGAGGAGTATGGGACTGCTTTTTTTTCAACTCTGTGTGAACACAGAACTGTGTGAAATAATATAATCATGAATATAAGTATATCAGAATATAATTGCACTTCCCAGTCCCGACGTGGAATTAGATTGAACTCACTTTTTACAACCCTAGTCAATATTTTTCAAGTTTAATCTGTATTTTTTTAATCTTTATAATTTTCTGAACTTTTAACTCCACCAGGAAAAAAATGTTTTCCATTTTCTGTGTGTGTAACTTTTCAATTGAAATAGTTTTAATGATGGCCTAGGAATTGCGTAACACCAACTAACCACCAACAATTTCCCCTTTGGGATTAATAAAGTATTTCTAATTCTGATTATGGACATGAACTGCAGTATGCAAAAAATTATGATAACAGATGGAGACGCTTCCAACAACGTTTGATGTTGCGCAAAGAATGGTAAATTATAAATTAAAGCTAACTTAAGTCATTTTTATTAACTGTGTAGTTACCGTGTAGACAAGATTTTGTTTTTTTAAAATCTCAAATTGCTGTAATTTGATGACAAACACACAGACAAAAAAATCATAAAATATATTTTCAAAAAAGATTTGACTTGCTCCCATGACTTGATCCCACCTCTGTCTCATGATGAAAATAATGTACTTAAATGTTGTTTTTCTACAGGAAAGACACAGAAATCCAATTATATTTGTTTCTGTACATTCAATATTGAAATGACTTTGGGCCATAACCTCTGAGCCTTTTTAACTTCATGATAACTGTGTTTAAAATTAAAGTTAACCACATCCTTTACTAACTGAACCAGGCATTTAAAACCTTGACATTGTACGAAAAAAAAAACCTCAACAGTGAACTTCTAAAATGTTTAAGCAGGAATTTGTTAAAACACCAAAACTCAAGTGCATTGTAGGCAAACATATTTAATTATGTTGACACTTAAAAACAAATACCTGCACCTGTAGCTTTGTTCTCTATATAGAGAATTTCATGTTCTCTTAAAACAAAAGCCAAGAAGGAGACAGAGTGAGAGCAGAGAGCTGCAAAACATTCTGCAGCCTCTGTACTAATCTTAACGATGCTGGTAACTGTGGTTTCATACCTATATGAAGGCATCCAGCAGTAGACAGGAAAAGACATGTCGTGTGTTCCACTGATGCTTTGTTTCAACACTCTCACCACTTCACAGACATGCTGAGCAGTTTCTTTTCCTGTTGAATGTTTCATTACTTTATGTGGAGGGCTATATTTTAAGTTCACCAACTAGAGCCAACAACAACTGAACAACTGAAAAAACACACAAACTATACACAGACTGTAAGAGTCGTAACTGAAACCTTGTTAGATTTTTCTTTCTTATTTTTCCCTTTTTTTTATTCTTATCAGGTGCAGAACTCATGATACATTGCCTAATCTTATACAAAATATATTACTTAATGACAAGGTTTTTAATGTTTTTTTGTTTGTTTTGTTTTGTTGTTATTATCAATGGTTTTAGTGTCTAATGGCATGAAACAACATCTCCACTGGTCTAAAAAAACTCATCCCAATAATCTTTAATTCATAGAGACATTAATGTAAATGAACACAACTCAGTTTGTAATGTAAGGCATGTGTATAGAAACGTAACGGTCTGAGAACAGTAAACAAACAGACAAAACACACGGGCTGATGTGACAATGTTTATTATAATTATTATTTTTTATTATTACTATGGTACACAATTTCAGAAATTTAGCAGAACGCTCATGTAAATCACTTTTTTTTATTACAACAAAGAAGACATTAAATATCAGCACATCGAGAGATTCTTCTGTGTTGGTATCTCCTCTTTGTTTGACAAGCTCAAGCCACAGAAAAATGTTTAACATAAGATGAAAACAATTTTTAAAAATATTTCAATTTAAAAGTTTTTTTTTAAAAAAGACCTTTTATGCAAATCTCCAGTCACGGTCAGTGGTGTTCAACCTGCAAGTGAGCACAACAGGAAGAAGCCTTAGTGTGTTACTGATACTCAACTAAAGTTGACTTCAGAGTTTAACTCGGGTCAGCAGATGTGTGATGATCCATTACTACAAGATAAATATATTAGTAGGTTATTTCATGTTACTACAAACCTGGCTCCCAAAACTGTATATATACTCGCTGAAATGTGAAGAAAACTGCAATCTAGAATTGAATGTAATGTATTCTTACAACTTACATATACAAATATAGGAAGGAGACTTGTTGATTTGATTGGATTTTGATGAGGGCCTTACCTTGGACATTGATGTTGATGGTGTGTCCTTTGGCTGACTCTCCACTACCACACTCGGCCTTGCACTGAAACGCACCTGTGTCGTTTGCTCCTACTTTCAGGATCTCAGTTAGCACCTGTCTGTGTCTGGTATTTCCACCCTTGTGTATTTCACTCACTGTGGTCAAGTACCTGTCAGGGTCGACCAGCTCAACATTGTTTTGCAGCCAGACCACGTGCACCAGGCCGCACCTGTTAAGGTTGTAGGAGGCATTACAGGGCAGTGTGACCGACGAACCTCTGCTCACACTGATGGTCCTGGCGGCGTAAAGAACCTCCACAATGTCTAGAACATTCGAAAGTGAGTGAAACTCATTAAATATGTAGGAAAAATACAATATTATTTGCTTACATCGGAATAGCTTCTTTTTAACACAGTTGTTTTGTTTTGACTACAGAAGTTCCAGATCTTGTAACATCAAGGCCTTGATTTGGATTTACTGACCGTCGTCATCGTCAGAGGCAGCAGACAGAGCTGACACCAGCAGCAGCAGTTGCAGCAGACGTCGGCTGATGGAAATCATCTGTGAACCACGACCGGAGGAAAAGGTCAGAGTGAAAGTATTACCCCAGTCATGTACAATTGAAGGCTGATGGTTGTGTGGGAGGAAGATGTGAATGTTTGCTGTTCGACACGATGAAATTGTCACAACTCCTCCCCCCTTTTCTCGTCTTTTCATGGTTTAAATATGTGCATTTAAGGCATTTTGGGGACTTTT